TCTGGCAGCAACTAGCTCAGCCTGACCTCAGCTCTTGCCTTTTTCTGTTTACATTTTTTTTCATGATGCCAGTGGTGAGGCTCTGCCTCCCCTATCTCCCCTGACTGTACGTTCCTGTATAGAAAGCCCAGGGATGTTCAAACTTGACAGTTTTAAGCCTTTAAGATTTAGATAGGACTCTTGGAGGCAGGTGGGGCGATTGGTGAGCCAGCCAATCAGTGAGCAGTGGGTGGGGCAAACATTGTGAGGACAGGCACGGGGAGGAAGCTGGAACTGGTTCTAAATGGCACAGTAGATTTGTGGAACCTCTTCTATAGAAGAGGTTAGAACTGGCAGGAACCCACCCCTGGCACTAGGAAACCAAAATGAAGCAGGAGAATGACATCCATTTCTATACATCCAGCTTTCTTCATTGTTAATACAGTCTTTTAAAAACAAAACAATATATACATCTTTAAATGGAGTACCTTGAAATCAAATTGACTACAGTATATTATTGGCACAAGGAGTAAAAGAACTCACTTATTACAGCAAGTACATGGCTGACTTTGGAGCAGGTCATAAACTGCTTATGGGAAAATTCCAGTTCAAGATAGAGTGGAAGAACAAAGCCAATCACTTTCCATGTTATGATCTTGAGCATAAACTCATAATTTTGAAGTAGCTTATCAAAATCCTGAACCTTGTTGATACGGAACCAGAAACACTGTGGATAAACTGAAGAAGTTGTTAAGTATGAATGTGAAAAGAGACTACCAAGGATCAAGAAATACAAGAAATATAATTGGATGTCGGAACTAATGGAAATTATCAAGAAGGGAAGACAAATCAAACCCATGTAAAGGAAAGATAATGGACGGATTGTTAATGAAGAATTTCAGAGAAGCTTGTTCCTTATTCCAACTGTTTTGGTCTCACTTCCTTCATGTATAACTGACTTTCTTTCCAGTCTCCATTGCAGTCTTCTTTCTCTCTTCTATAAATATCCATATACTCAGCATTTGAAATGCCTTTAGCATTTCTCTTTTACTTATCTGCAAACAAGTGTGGTTCTTTGTTTTCTTAAGATCCTAGGAAACATCCATTCTGAAGAAAGACAGTTCATAAGGATGGAAAACTGAGACCAGTAACTCTGAATCCTTCCTTCCACAATATTCCTTACTTACAAGAACTTCTAGTACTAGAAGATGGCTAGATCAGCACATGGCAAGAAATAGAAGAAGAATCAATAATTATATGTTAGCAATGTTAGCAAATTATATGTTAGCAAATATGGAAAATGGTACAATGGTCAAAAGATTGGAAGACCTCAGACTACATAGTGAAAGAGAGAGAGGGAGGAAAGAGGTGGGAGGAAGGGAGGGAGGGAGGGAGGGAGAAAGAGAGATTTACTAGAGTGCTACCTATCACACAATATCCCTAATTATCTATCCTAGTGAAATAATGAATTCATTATCTAATATAAATTAGAACCTCACAGGAAGATGCTAGGTGTTCGAGCAAGAAAAATCTGAGGGACATACTGGTGCACACAGGATAATTGAGAAAGTCAAAGAATAACAACAGGAAGTCAATATGTGTTTTAATTATTATGGGAAAGTCTCTGGTTGTGTTGTCCACATCATACTGTGAAATGTATTTAGGAAAATGGGACTCCTCGAATATCTCACTGTCCTCATGTAAAACCTCATGCAGGGGTCACGAATCTACTGCCTAGGTGGAGCAACTAGCTCTAAGTCAGCAAAAAAATGAGATGAGACTGTATACTCTACTTTTATTTATGCTGACTGTATATTGATGGAAACTGGATTAGAAAATGAGTGTGGCTTTAAAGTTTGCAGAATCATTAATTATGCAATTTACTGATGGGAAAAGTAAGGTTTTACACTTAGGCAAGAAAAAAGAAATGCATAGGTAAAGAATGGGTGGTATGGGGCACAAAAGCAGAAATTGTGACACAGATCTAGGAGTCCAACTGGATAACCACTTAAGTATGAACCAGCAGTGTGCTGTAGCTATCAAAAAAGCCAATGCAGTCCTAGACTGCATCAGCAAAGGAATAGTATCAAGAACACATAATGATAGTACTGCTTTATTCTGCACTGATAAGACTATACTGACTATGACTCAGAGGTGGTATTCAGCGGGTTCTGACCAGTTCTGGAGAACCGGTAGTGGAAATTTTGAGTAGTTCAAAGAACTGGTAAATACCACCTCTGACTGACCCACCCCCACCTATTCTCTGCCTCCCGAGTTCCAGCTGATCAGGAGGAAATGGAGATTTTACAGTATCCTTCCCGTGGAGTGAGGTGGGTATGGAGATTTTACAGTATCCTTCCATTGCCATACAGTAGTAAAAAAAATTGAATCCCACCACTGCTCTGACTCCTCTTTAGAAGGCCAGATCCTGAAGTTGAAACTCAAATATTTTGGCCAACTAATGAGAAGGAAGAACTCACTGGAGAAGAGCCTAATTCTAGAAACAATTGAGGGCAAAAGAAGAAGGAAATGACAGAGAATGAGATGGATGGATGGAGTCACTAAAGCATGAGCATCATGTTGGCATGAGCTTAAATGGACTCTGGGGAATGGTAGAGGACAGGCCTGGAGGAACATTATCCATGGGGTTGTGATGGATCAGACATGACTTTGCAATTAACAACAATAAGACCATACTTGGAGTCTGTATCCAGTTTTGGTCACCATGATACAAAAAAAGATGTTGAGATTCTGGAAAGAGTGCAGAGAAAAGCAACATGATTAGGGGCTGAGTGGAAGTTAAAACATACAATGAACAACTGTGGAAACTGTGGGAATGTCTTGTCTAACAAAGAGAAGGACTAGGGGTGATATGCTAGTAGTCTTTTATTATCTGAAAAGCTGTCACAGACAATAGGGGTTTGACCTATTCTCCAAAGTACCCAAGGGCAGGACAAGAAGTAATGGGTGGAAGATCATTAAGGAGATCCAATCTAGAACTAAGGAGACATTTTCTCAGCAATTAATCAGTGGAATGACTTGCCTCCAGTAATTATGGCTGCTCCATTGTTGGAGGTTTTAAAAAAGAGATTGGACAACCATTTGTGTGGAATGATATAGGCTCTCTTGTTAGAGTAGGGGATTAAACTAGAAGACCTCTAATGTCACTTCCAACTGTTCTTCAGTATTCTATACTGATAACACTACTTTAGTAGGAAGGTCAAGGAGCACTGTGGAAAAAAATTGGACCAAGACTGAAGATAAAGAAGACTAGAATAATAACATATACAGATATAGCTTTAAAATTGACAAGGAAAATATTGTCATCACAGCAGACATGTAGGTTTAATGTAATAAAAATTTCTTTTACTTGTTTCCTTATACATGTAGAAGATTTGATGAGAACCTGGAGTTCTTGAAAGAATAGCTATCTAAACATGAGCTATATTCAGCTTTTTTCTATAACAAAATGTCAACCAAACTTCTTGCTTAATTATTATGATCACAAAGTTGTTCTTTTTACACTGTATTTGAAAGTACACTGTCATCACAGAGCTGCTTAGAAAACTCTAACCATGAATTATATCTTCATATCTTGCTTAATGGAGATATGTTTTTGGAAATGCATAGACTACAATTTTCTTATCAAATATTGAATGCAATAGGCCAGTGGTTCTTAACCTTTTCTTCACCATCCACCCCTTTAAATAGCTTTTGTGGCCATGGACCCCCAAGACTTAAATCAATATTTAAATAATAACATTTCTTCAAGCTTTCATGGATCCCCTGTGATGATATCGCAGCACGCTCAGGGGTTCATGAACCACAAATTGGGAACCACTTTAATAGGCAATATATTTTCATATTCCAGGTTGGTCAAAGAACAACCATAGCAAGATTCAGTGGTTTGGGGTTTTAGGGCTTTGGGGTTCTGGGAATTTACCATATTTAGAGCTTGATGGGTGCTACTATGCCAGACAGTCCCTGTGCATCATCTAGGGGTCCCTTTGGACCCATGATTCCAGCTTGGAAAGCAGCTACAGTTGTAACCAGACAGTTTTTGCACAGTTTTGGGCACGTTCCTGGACTGGGAAGCTCTACTCTCAGTTACATATACTCTAGCCACATCTCAAATAGATTCCTGCAACACACTCTAAAATGGAGTTGCCTTTGAAGAGCATCCAGAAGCTTCATATGGTGCAAAATGCAAGGATGAAGGAAGTTATGTGTACTCCTTGCTCAGTAAACATTATAACTCTTGTCTGTGAAGAGCACCAGTTGTGAGTTTGCTTCCAAATTAAGCTCAAGATGCTGGTAATAATCTATAAAACCTTACACATGATAGGACTGCATTATTTGGAAGGCTGCCTCTTCCTAGTCTCCCAGATCTGAAAGGATCTAAAGACATACTTGTGTCAATGGGCCTGGAGGTCTAGATTATGGTTTGGAGCCTGCTGGATTCACTAATTAATCTACAACTTGCCTTTGCCTACTATCTATCTATCTATCTATCTATCTATCTATCTATCTATCTATCTATCTATCTATCTATCTATCTATCTATCTATCTATCTATCTATCTATCTATCTATCTATCTATCTATCTATCTAGTTTTAATTTTGATTTCAGTTAGGTTTTCCATTTTGTTTTAAGTGTTATTTTTTGCTATTTTCCTATATTTTGTTAATTTGTTGTGTTAAGTTGTTTTTAATTATATGAGCTGCCCAGTATCACAAATGTGAGATATAAATTGAATGAATTAATAAATGAAGAAGGAAATCTCCCTGCCCCTAAAACAAAGCAAAAAGGGAGGTGAGTAATACATGGAAGCAATATCTTATAGAAATAATATATTATTTCAAGTAAATCACATTTATATAAAAGTCTGCTTTAATCATAGTATTAATTCCTCTTTTCCCCAAGTTTCTAGTCTCTTCTTTTCTCTTCTTTACTATTAAAAATATCCCTGCCAGGCTTCTCTATTGCACCAAAGCACAGAGTTTGAGAACTGCTGGCTTATTCTGTGGTTTGACTGAGTCCCTCATTCAATTTAATACAACACAGAAATTTAATCATTATGAATCAGATTCTAAATTGCCCTTCTACTAGCATACAGTTCATAGCAAGTAGTAAACTTTCTTACTTTCTTACTTAAGACAAAATGGATAATCACACCTCAAATTCATAAAGCCATCTGTACAAACTCTCATGCAGATGATGACATTCAGCAACTTGCTAGAACAGATTTCTAGAACAGTGGTCCCCAAACTTGGCAACTTTCAGACTTGTGGACTTCAACTCCCAGAAATATTTTCACCCAAAAATTTAGGATGTGTGTTTTAAATTAATTGCTAAATCAACTAACCAGCCAACCAACCCAACCAGTTAATTCTTTGGGAAGAGAATCTTAAAAGTAGTTTCAGATACATAGTTTGCATAGAGACAACATACATTCCATATCTACAATGTTCAGAATGAGCGCACCTTTTGTGCCTTGCGCTTATCGGCTCGTTGGTTCTGATGATAGATGCGACTGAAGTTGGAGACAATGACTGGAACTGGAAGAGCAATGACTAAGACCCCGCTGAGAGAACAAATGGAACCAAATATCTTCCCAGCTATTGTCTTCGGCACCATGTCACCATACCTGGGGTAAAAAACAAAAGTCTGCTTAATCACATAAGCTATAATTTGCCCTTAAAGGACTTAACAGTAGCATTCCACTATGTGAACAACTCTTCGTATCGTTTTTGACAGAGTCCCTAATATTGCTACTCCACACATCAATTTATTCACATCCAGTGTGAGGAAGGGGAGGATATTGAAAAATATGGTGATGACATTTCAATTATTGAGATCTAGTTGAATTGTTGTATTCAATCCTTGGAGCTGTGCATGTGGTGGATCAGTCCTTTTTCTTTTCAATCTTCTAGAACAGTGGTTCTCAACCTGTGGCCTGCAGATTCTGGGGGCTGTGAGGTTGTCACAGGGGGGCTGCAAAGGCTTGAAGAAATGTTATGATTTAAATCTTGAGTTAAGTCTTGGGGGTCCTCAGCCATGGTCCATGGACACAAAAGTATTTGTGTGGGGGGAGAGGTCCATGGTGAAGAAAAGGTTGAGGACCACTGTTCCTCTATAACTTGGAGGGTCTTGTTAAAATTCCTTCTCTTGCCCTGTAGAAGCAGAAACATTTTATCCCTACAAAAAGTTACCTTTGAATGCAACTCTTTGAAAATAAATAAGGGCTTCCTTTAATAAAAGAAGACTGATGAAGATAAATGGGTAAGGGAAATGTGGTCTCTCTCTCATTTATTATCTCAAAAACAATGGATTATATAGTTGTATTAACTGAAATGAAATTCAAGGAAAACAAACAAAATTCCTTTTCCTCGTAAAAAGTAGTGAAGTGATAGGAGTGCTGCGCACCGTATGATGCCACCAATAGGCTCTGTAACTTTAGAACAGAAATATATGTTTACAATGGTAAATTAAAGTGTCATAAACTGCTGATAATTAAACAGAGCATCTTCTTTGAAAATAGTGATAAGTGGATTAGGGTAGGCCTGTTCCATTTTCTATTTTGAAAAGTTTTTGTCTGGCTTTTTAAATTCATAAGATGCAATCTGTAAAAAATGTTTGAAGTGATCAAGAGATTTCTTCCATGTATCATATCATCATCATCATCATCTTGCTTACATTGTACTAGCTCTTCATAAATAGGAGATTCCCCTCAATGATTCCTAATATATCCAGGAAGGCTGGAAAAGACCTTCATTTCAAATGAACTATAGCTAAACCAACAGTATGACTCAGTATAAAACACCAGTATAAAATATCTTCATCTAATTCCATTTCTTACTGTTATGTATCACTTGTACAAATAAAAACAGAACTAAAACAAGCAGATGGACTTGCAGTAGAGGCAGTAGATGCTCAAGGTTATCTTATGAACATTACAGTTTGGTTGAATTTCAAGGCCACCTTAATTAAATCTGGGGCTCTTCAAAGTACTGCATGTGAAGAATAAAACATCATGTGAAGAATCATCAGCTGCATTCTTCTTCCACCATTCATTACTGCTCTAGACATACTTTGCATCATATTATTAGTGCCATCCTTCTTTCCAAAAATCTATTGATGCCCTTGAAGTGTAGCAGCATGTTGCCTAATTGACTAAAATGTATTTCATGACAATAATAATTTGTGTCATTGCAATAACAATTCAAGATAATACAACATGTCAGTTCTATACTCTAATTAAGATAAATTACTGTACAGATCCCAAATAAAGGCAGTTATTCCAATCTAATAAGATAAAAACCTGTATAGAAATAGCCTCTTCATTAGTATAGGAGGAAGGAGACCTATTCCACTGCTGATATAATGGTCATTGAGGAAAAGTGTCTTTTGATGTGAATAGGTATGTCATAACTGAAGAATAAAACTTATACCTTGCTTTAGTTAATGCTAAGCTAATGACATTTTTGTTTTCTTGTTCAGTTTGAAAAATAACAACTACATTGTGAGTACAATGTGTCAGGCCCCAAACTAAAACAGACACATGAAAATTATTCCAACCCTGTGTTCTTTATTGTTCTATATTAATGGACAAAATCTATCCAGACTGAGAACTTTACTAGCTCCATCACTTCTCTACCTTCTCTACTACCTCCTCTCACATATAATATCTGAGTGGCATTGCCACTTACTACTCTGGAAGGCAGCCTTTAGGAATCCACCTCCTCACAAGTCACTACATTCTTTCAGAATACTGAAAGTGTATATACAAAATTTGTTGTTTCTTCTCAAGCACAGCTCTTTTCACAGAAGTTAAACTTGATTTTCATTGAACACAAAAAGGAATATTCCTAGAAGCTTCCGAGGAGCGGTGATTAAAAAAGTCGAGGTGATTTATGTTCAAAAAGGAAATAATTGCAAGATTGAAACTCATCCCTATTTATGTGTGTGTCACATGCTGGTCAAGTGTAAAAAAATAACATTTTTCCTTTGTTTTGAAAGTTAAATATGTCTTCATGAATGCCACAAACACATATTTAAATCTCTGCTGAATAAGTGTTAAGAATGAATTTGGAAAGTCTTAAAACTAAAGCAGGGAACTATCATATTGCAGTAATCAGGAATTCCACCAGAGGACATAAAGAACCATTAGAAGATAACTGAAATAGGGAAATCAATTTTTCATATTTCATACTACATGACACAAATGTACTCATACTTAAAAAATATCCTCCATTCTAATTCAATTACATTTTCTCCACGAAAGCTATAGGCATGTCAAAGAAAAAAAAAGATGATTCAATAATTTTCCTTTTTTATCACTTATAAAAAAGGGGATTACGGAGATTGGAAAAATAAAATAAATAGGTGGCCACTTAATGTGACAGTACTCATTTTGAAAAACAAGGTCATTTCTTATTAATGCATAAAAAAGATGAAAAACGGTAGGTAGTTATAATCAAGTCCCTGATAAATAAATGAGAAGGGGAAAAATCAGATAGTGGAAGAAAATGAAAAGGGAGCAGAACAAGCAACTAATCTGAATTACTTTTCTGAAAATAAAGCACTTGCTGTTTGGAGAATTCACAAAGATATCTTGGGGCTTGGGAACTATAGCCAATTCTGATGTGTCTTGTGGTAATTTAAACAGCAAAATGAATTGGACTTGTGCTGTTGGCAAGATAGGGGCAAAAAAGTCAAACGTTTGTCACAACTATGTGACTGAAGTCATGTCCCTTTTTATATGTGTAAAAAAATGGTGAGGCTTTGATCACACATTTGCAACTGCAATTTTGGTGGCATTGTGGCTGGTTCCAGATGTCTTTAATGGCATCCAACTTTTTGTGTGCAAATGCTCTAGTACAGTGTTTCTCAACTTTGGCAACTTGAAGATGTCCGGACTTCAACTCCCAGAATTCCCCAGCCAGCGAATGCTGGCTGGGGAATTCTGGGAGTTGAAGTCCGGACATCTTCAAGTTGCCAAGGTTGAGAAACACTGCTCTAGTATCTTCTTCTTTCACAGTTTATTTATGTAAGCTTGCCCTAATATGTCGGGCTTCTAATCAAATTCCCCAGCTTTCCATAACACTTTAAAAAAGTGTACTGTTTTGGCTCAACTTTATCCAGTTTGCAAGCTTTTGCATGATGGATAATATATTTGCTCATGAATGCACCATGGGTAAATTTTGCGGACAGAAATTGGCACTTTGCTCATAATAGTTCATTTCCATAGAACTAAAATTACATCACAATAGTAAAACTACATAACAAAGGTAGAACCAAACCTCAAGTATATGTTGATAAAAGGGAATAATTGCAAGAAGCTTTTGGTGGTCATCTACACCAGTGGTGAGATTCAGCCAGTTTGCACCTATTCGGGAGAACTGGTTGGTAACTTTCTAAGCAGTTCGGAGAACTGGTTGTTGGAAGAAATCTTTTGTTTTTTTCCCACTTTACAGGGCTAATCCTGTAAGGAAGGCAGGAAGGAAACATTCTGGTGTTGTTTCTAGCCTAATTTTTATTGCCCTGCTTACAGAAACTGCCTCTCCAGTTAACCCTTATACCATTGTAACAACTAAGGCGAAGTGCCCATCGACCTGAGTGACATTGACTTGGCCACGCCTACATGATCACATGACCACCGAGCCCCGCCTACCCAGCTGGTCATTAGGGCAGAGAACTGGTTGGTAAATTATTTGAATCCCACCACTGATCTACACACATACAAAAAAACTCCTGCACTGGCGTTGAAAATAAATTCATTTTAACAACCCTATCCTGCAGTGTTTTGCAGATATAATAGGGTAAGCTTCTCAAGCGACAAAAACAGATGTGAATACAAGCATGAAAGCTCGATACATTCCCCATATACATTACACAAGAGATGATTCTGTGTCATGTATACTGAAATATATTCAACATCCCCTTCTATTGGAGGAGATTTGGCCTGATAAATTAAGGCAGAATTTGCAAACTTGTGGGTGAGAAAAAAAGAAAGCTGACACTGTATTTCAGAGTCTTAGATTAATACTTAGCCTTTCTAGAAAAAAGGAACTCCAGAAAAAAATGAAGCAGATCTAGCTGATATTAATTTAGAAAGAGTAGGTAACAATTAAGGTAGGAATTTGAGTTAGATTGTTGATAGTTATTTTTCTGTCCTGTCCTGTCCCCCCCTCTCTCTTCCCTTCTTCTCTCTTTCTCTTTCTCTCTCTCTCTCTCTCCCAAGTACAGCAGTTGGGTGTCCTTCAGCTTTTTATGCATGTTTTAGATTGCACATGAGGAAAGTATTTCTTCTTAGAATTTTTTTGTAATTTTGTAATTTGAAATCCCTCCCTCAATCTTTTTATAATGGTTTTTATTTATTTTTAGCAGACCATCAACATTTTATGGTTATTCTGGAACACCATATTTTCTTTTCTAATTCTCATGTTAAAATTACTTTTTTTAGTTGAACGGCTCTGTAATATCCCCTTCAATAACTTGAATATCTAAACATTTGCTATTGTTTATCTATTGTGTGATTAGAGTATAACAGAGGTTGGAAAGAATCTTGGAGGTTTTCTAATTAAACCTGCTGCTTAATCTGGAGACTCTATACCATTTCGGACAAATGGCAGTCCAATCCCTTTT